TTCGTCAAAAGCGGCTTGCGAGGTGTCTGGTGTATGGCGAGAGCGCTTGTACACTCCATGCTGTCTCTAGGCCGGCACCGTGGTATTCGCCGAATGTTAGCCACACCCATGGTCACAGTGGCTTAAGCATCTTTCCAATCATGACGCTTCGCCCTGGGGTCTGGCTGTTTCCAGAAGCACCAAGACAGCGAAAAGGCCAGGGCGCCGTTGCTGGAAGAATGGCGCTAGGCCTGCAGTGTCGTTTAAATCTCTCTGGTTCCCAAGCAGCCAAGCTTCCCTTCACCCAAGTCGTTAGCCCGACTGGTGCCACCAATTAGGTAGTGTACACTACCCAGGGAGGCGGTGCAGGGGGGGGCAAGATCAGGCGTCGTCGTCGTCCCAATTGGCAGCCAACAAAAAGCATTATTGGCCTTTGCAGTGGTCAACCAAGGGGCCTTTGTGGGCATGGTCGGTCGTTTCGACGGCCTGCTTTTCCTAGAGATGCTCTTTTTCTCCCCTGAACCGTCAATGGTGCCGACCGTTATCGTTTGTTTCGCGGCCCAAACCACTCTACGGGCCGCTGACGATTCGTACGGTCACGGTTACCAACTTGTACGTAAGGACGGTTTGCCGACGCACAATAAAGGAGACGCTAATTAGCTTGTGGGGGCGGATATGTGCGTTCGAATTACCCATCCAGCGAGGGGCCACCGCCCTGCCCTGTACATATTTATGCTGCTAGTCAATGATCAGCTTGTGGGCCTCGATGTGGAGCTACCAGAGCCGACCCGGATCGTGCGAAATTCTCCTTGGGCCGTCGATTGGGATATGCACGAAAGGCGGCTGTTGTTGTTGTGGTGGTGGTGGTGGTGGTCTCTTCTACATCATTCTGTCCTCCTAAGCCGACGTGGCTTGTACTGTGCGTCATCTTGTATCCTCGCCGTCTCGCCACGTAGGTAAACCCCCTTCAGCAGAGGGAGGCGACCTCCCATCTCCACCGGATGCTTTCTGCTGAAGGAGTTTTCCCTTGCATAAGAAGACGGGTGATCCTTGCGCAACGATTCAATACTACAACGAGACGCCGTTGGATCCATGGATGGCTGAATCAAGTCCAAACGGGGCTTTCGAGCAAACAGCCGGTGGAGTACAACCGAGCGCAGGGACGCAGCATATCTCGTCTACTGTATGTATTGCCAATACTCACAACGTTTGATGACGGCGAGCCCCGATAGCCCTGCAGAATGGTGGTCAGAGCTTGGTGTGATTATCATGTCAGTCATTCGGCCGCGTCGAGCAGCGACCCCTCAAGACGGACACGGAAGTACATCAGGGTTGGGACGATGATTCACCTTAAATCGTCGAGATGCGTACATCATTCAGCGTTTCTTTTTTCTCTTCCCCCTTCTCTCGCCAAGGGGCAACCGTGGCGCGTGATGGGCTCGTCCGCATCCCTGCTCAGCCAGTTGTTCCAATAAGTTTCGTGCCCTGAGACCATAGCTGCAACTAAGAGCCCGGAGCCTAGTCTACCCGCACGGCTAGATGTGCCACTTGATTTGCTTTTGAGTCCAACAGGAAGACTGGATTTTCCCGCGTCCAAGCGTACACAAATCCCCTTCTCGCGTGACGGGGTTGTATTGGGCACGGCAGACAAACTTGACGGGGGAGATTTGAGCCAAGATGCAGCTAAGCCGGTGCCTGCTGCCTGCTGCCGGGACCCGTGCGTGCCCTAGCCCGCCTCGCGAGAATAGTTCGAAGGGTTTCTGTATCTATATACTCGGAGTGCTTGCTCGGTAGGGCAACGATTGGCATGGCCCGGCCAGCTCCATTTTTACCCTTCCGCCATGTGCGGGCACCGCGCCGCACCGGGCTGCACTTTTCTCGGCTTGCGCCCGGACGCCAGCAAGCCGCCATTCATTCCCAGCCCCGGCGCTGCAGAAGAGGCGATGGTGACCATTTGCGCCTAAAGGCATCTACATCATCTACATACATTGAAGACCAAGCTGTCTCAATGGCCGAAGTGCGAGGCACTCGGTCTGCACCCACGTGAAGGAGGCGGTCCTTGGTTCGACGGCAGCGCAGTCCAGACGCTCACTTCGGACCAACGCAATCCAGCACGGAAGCGGAAGAGCTTCAAGTTGCTCTGAGGACCCCTGGCCAGGATACCATTCATGGGCTCGACTTGTGCATCTCTGCGTGCATCACCACCGAGAGCACACACACGAGAGTGTAGGTATACCAGGATCAGCGCGTGTCCCTGTCGAATCGACGGGCGAAACGTACACTGGAGAACCTAGAGCCCGGGTTGCCATGCCTCGGGAGCCAAGCCAAGGCGTGTTCCATGTCTCACCATTCCTGAGGCTGCCCCGAACATCCCTCCCCGAACGCCCGTCGACTCCTCCAGCTAATTGGGGGAGCTCTTCTTGTCGGACATATCAGACGATCCAGAACGTGCCCATGTCGGGTTCGAGAGATCCCAAGCCAAAGCCAATACCTGAAATGTCGGATGCCATCGTGCTTGCGGCCTTTTCGTTTACGGAGGCGAGGAAACAAAGATGAAAAGGAGGGGGGTTCGAAACCGTGTCAGGCATCCACAAACGCGGTCGGAAATTCTGCTCAGCATCATTCAAACCTCAAACGATTAGTGCGGTACTAGGTCAACTGCCGTCGACGCGAATGCAACGTCGACCTGAGGCGATAAGGCTCGCGTGGCTGACGGGCTCGCGCCGTCACCCTGCGAAACCGTTTGCGAGGCTGTCGGCAGCGTGCGTTGGCGGGGACATCTGCTTGTCTGCACGTGGCGTTCTGCGCGCCGGCGCCGCCGAGTCAGTCTCGCGCCTACCGGTGCGGATAGTGATCAAACGGGGCAATCGACCGTCATCATACTGCTTCTGTTCGTCCACAGCTCGGAGCCGAGATGCTGCAGCCCGCAGAATGTGCTAGATTCGGAGCTGGGCCCGTGAGCCGAAACCTTCTGACTCGGCGGACACAAGAACCGCTCAAGGCAATGTGGCCATTGACAAGCGTTTGGGCGAGACCGAGAACCGGCCCGAACAAACATCGCACCTCAATAAGTCTCGGCCACACGCAGCTGCGGCCAGTCTCGAGGGATCCGACAAGCCCGTTCCCGTACCGTCGGTATCGTGGTCGAAAACGCCAGAGGGCTGACCAGCCGTCAACAGGACAAACGCAACGGACTCCGCCATGGGCATTCCCCAGGGAAGAACCAATGGTTGAAGGCTTGTGGAAAACGGGCCGTTCATTCCAAATCGACGGCCTACCTGCCAGGATTTCTGCAGCCCAGCGTTGGATCTTGATCGCGTCCCACACGATTCGAGCGTTTCATGTTATTTTCCAAACATGTCCAAGACGGCCAATCCTGGCTTCGGGAACCCCGCTGCTCGGTCCAGTGCCAGGTCCAATCCCGCGCCAGAGTGCTGCCATGGTGCACTTCCGCTGACCCCATGACGATCTCCTCTTCGACTGGGGGCATTGGTGTGCGTCGGGCAAAGGCATTCCTGCGCGCATTGGAGATCCGCCGTGTCAGATTAGGCACGTTGGCGCGTTCCTTGGATCAGACGAGATGGTGATCCAGAAACCTTATCGCACAGACGGCGGCTTCTGGATTGTCAAGTGATTGTTGGATCGTTCTGACAAGCTTGGCGAATCTGCCATCCATCGCCACCCGTGGACGATAAGGGGAACTGGCCGAGCACACCGCTGCGAATTCGTTTCCTACATGGGACCTGCACTGCTTCTGTTACGTCAGTCTACTCGCCGGACGTCCAAATGGGCAGCTGCGAAGGACGATGTCACCATACCGCATGCATGCCATGCATGTGAGCAGAGAGAAATCGGAGGGGGGGAGAGGGGCCGTCAGTGACACTCGAAAGCGTCTTGACTGGTATTATCAGAGGGCCGTTAAGACGCGGTCCCACCGGCCAACGTCCCCTTTGCAACAGCTCCCCGCCCTACCACAGCAGGCGTCTCCACCCCATTGGCACCGTGACACGCCCTCGGTGGCATGGCGGACCAGAGAGAGGGGCTTCGTGGGCAGGTTGCTTACCGGTATGCACACTATCAACGAGTCCGACTGTGCTGGGAGTATCATTGTGTCCCTGTGTGGCCTAAAGAGAGACAGACCGCCTTGGATACGTACCTTGGCCGCCGATTGCGGTCCTAGGGAAGCAATCTGTTCAGTCGCCAGCAACAGCACCTGTTTTGAGCCCGACACGCTCCGCTCTGGGAGTCATGTTGGCAGCAGCGTAGTCGCTGCTGCATCATGACTCTGACCCGGCTGGTTCGGCCTTGTTAGAAGGCGACTCAAGCGCAGGAGCCGAGGCAGGCGCTGAGGTGAGGCAACATGCATCGGCTCTTGCCGTGGTGCTTAAACAAGAAGCAGGGCGCCACTGCACGTGCAGCTGATAAGGAGCCCGCTTAGACAACTACAAAGGCACTAGGCTAAGTTAGCTAGTTACTGATAGTTACTCCTTATTTAGATATAGTATAGACTTATTATACTTTTTATAGTAAGTAAGTAGTTCATAGGTTTTTTTTTTACTTTATTAGTACTTATTTTTAGAGTATAATATATTAAGAATAGTTTCTTATACTTTAACTTAAAAAACTTTTACTTTTTAGCTAGTTAAAAGTACTATAGATTTTTCTATTATATTATTAAATAAGAAATATATTTAATATTTTATTTAAAGTATATATACTATAGTATAAAGCTATAAGTATTACTATTAAATAGTTAATAATTACTTTATTAATTACTTTAATATTTTTTGAGAAATATATCTTTATTTCTTAATAAAAAATTTAATATTTAACTTTTTAGAAAAAAAACTTAACTTACTTACTTATTTAATATATTTCTCTTTTTATTTAAAAGCACTTTATTTTAGTTATTTTTTTATATTAATAGGGCTAGCCCTATACCTAGGTATCTATCTAAAGTAGAGATCTAAGTGTCTCACAGCCCTACTTTATACTAATTCTGCCTCTAACATACTATAACAGGCCCTCTGGCGCAATGGTAGCGCGTTCGACTCCAGTTTTCACAAAAACTAGTTGTAAATCGAAAGGTTATCCGTTCAAATCGGGTGGGGGTCATTTATTTTTACGTTATTTTGTAATATTTAGGGTGTTTTTTGCTATATATATATAGATAGGTAGTTAAGTAGTAGGTAGATAGGGGAGATAGGAGAAGAAAAGCTAGCTACACGTGCTTATTCTTATGAGGTGTGTATGTGTAATGCTGTCGCTAGCTTCTTCCTACTTTACAATGTCTATAGGAATGCTACAGCAGGTGCTCAGGTGCCATTTAAGCCGAGAGGGTCTCTTACCTTATTAGGGGTGTCAGGAGGTAAATAGCTGTTAGGGTGCAAGCAACAACTGTATAGCGCTAGTTTTTGACTAAGAAGATTATTGGTGTTAATATTATAGAGGTGGTCAAAGTGGTGACAAATGATATAAGTTCTAGTTTAATTACGCATAGAGAAGGAAAACGGCTATTGTGGGCAGGCAGCCTTGTTGAAAGGCAATGAATGTATCTACCGTAAAGTGGCGGATAGTATAGTAGAAGACCATCAGAGACGACCCGTTTATTCAGCAGCCAACAACGGCCGGCATCATAACTGTCCACAGGAAGTATTAAGACATCTACAAGGTTTTCTTTTTAAAGAGGTAACTAATGAGGGTTATATATGTAGCCTTCACATTTTATAATCCAGAATCTAATAAGCACAGTGTCTGCATCACGTTACACTACTTGGAAAGTATAAGGAAGTCTTTAGAAGAAGGCAACATGGGACGGGAAGGAAGTAGAGGAAGCAGGTGGGAAGGAAGCAGGTGGGAAGGAAGCAGGTGGGAAGGAAGCAGGTGGGAAGGAAGCAGGCGGGAAGGAAGTAGAGGGAGCAGGTGGGAAGGAAGCAGGTGGGAAGGAAGCAGGTGGGAAGGAAGCAGGTGGGAAGGAAGCAGGGGGGAAGGAAGCAGGCGGGCAGCGCCACTACCCGTCAACTGTCGCCAGACCAGAGCAGTCAGGTGCAACCAACACTCAAATACTCTTGTAATGTTTAACAGGGCCGCCGAGTTTCTAATGTTTTTATAAAATCAGCTTCTATCGAGGGGGGGCAACTGTTATAGGGCCCCGGCAGCCACCATCTACACCCGAACACACCCGGGAAGGCTATGTAAACTTCAATTGCATCTAAACAAATAGATACTGTCCAACCCTTTATGGATTTCATCCTTACCTACCTATAGGTTTCGTACGACAGAGGAGCCTACCTACTGATGCGTTGCCTGGTTCCTGAGCCTCACTTTTTCACAAGGTCTTCATAGCTGTGCTCGTCAAAGCGGCCTGCTAGCTGGACTCATAAAAGTGACAGACATAGAATAGATGCAAGAGTGGTTAGATAGCTGTGAGCTTGAAAAAAGCTATCTGCCTACCTTTCCGCCAAAAGACATAGGAGTGATGCAAGGAGCCTCCTGTCCTGACAAAGCAGAGTCGCAGTACACGAGACTTGAGCTGGAGGTGAAGGCAACAGCCGAGTGAATCGCCCAGAGTAGTCAAGGTCTGGTTGAGGGCTTTGACCTGCACCTTCCTTCCCATTAGCAAAACTCTAGGGACTGGGTCCTTTTCTTCCTGCCTGAAAACCTCCCTCCGCCTGCTTCACCCTCTTTCACTGATCTCGTACGATCCCTCCAAGTTCATCAACATCTGGGTAAGAATCCGATTACTCGAGATTTGGTCTCTTCAAGATAATAGCTAATCATAGACCCTCCTGTCCGGTTTGCCAACTTCACCAGCTCTGCTAGTTTACTCTTTCCCGCTTGCACTTCCATGGCTTTCGCATACACCTTATGATTACTACGGGTAAGCGGCTTCCCATCCTCATCTTTTCCCTCGGAACTCTTACTTACCTTACTCAGACGCCACCTAAGATGTCAGACGGAAAGGCCGTCAGCGACAGCGGCCATGGCAGCGGCCGACGGAACAAGAAAATCTGCGGCCAATGCGATGTACCGGGCCATGAGCTTGCAGACTGTACTTATATGCGTATCATGAATCGGAGACATGGTAATATGTCTGGTTGCCCGATGTGCAATACGAGAAACCACTCATATGACGACTGTAAAAAATTGCCTCCCGGCGGTGACGAGCTTCTTCAGCATCACATGGAATGGCTCATTCGACGTCGTTCCCATCTTCCAATGATCTTCAGCAAAGTTGACATATGGATACTTGTCCTGGGCTTTCCAGACTACGATGGCGGTTACCCTTGGTCAATGATGTTCACCAAGGACATGGGTACCAAAGGGGTTCCGGTCATCATACAGAACCAGAAGTACAATCATGGGAAAGTCAATACTGGTATTGTTGATCCCTCAACAAGCTCCCTTACCGATATCAAGCTTCGCGTCAATTTTGAGGTTCCGCAGGAGGTCGACACCCAATATTTCAGAAACAACCTTTTAGCCCAAGGGGCTGTCCATCGATCCAGTTTGTTAAGCCTGCTCGGGACCCAAAATTTATCAGAGGCGCAGAGAAACAGACTTCAACAAACGTCTATGCCTACAGAGGAGAATGCACTGGCAAAAGTTTATCATGCTGGCGCTATATCTGCGCCTGTATTTTCACAGAATACAGCTTTTGCCGAAGCGTTCGGAGACTTTCTCCTACACGACAATCCCAGGGGTATAGCAGAGTTCGCATTTCTCACGACCTTGAAAAATGAGGCGTTGCGCAGGCACAAGAAGGAGAAGAAGGAGAAGAAGCAAAAGGCTTCCCAATCGAGACGCGAAGACAAGCCGGTCATCGCAACGGATCCTTGCGAGAAACAGAGCTCGGAACATTCTGCTCTCACCCCTCTGATGATTCGCCAGGAAATCTGGACGGCTCTGTGCCCCAGAAGAAGATGCGTCGGGGGCTTTCCTTTCGAGGTTCCCGTCCCTCCGACCGCCAGGCTCCAAAAACACGTCGTTGACGAGTTGGAGGACGGGTTGAAAAGCGATTCCGGCAGAGGAACAGACACGGGCCAGCGAACGGAAGCACGCCTAGAGAACTACATTCATCCTCATGTCAGAATTGACGTCACGCAGCGCAGGCTGCCAGATGGCAGATCGGCTCAAGTGATCTTACTGGGCCTCGTCGAGCATGCGTACAACTTGCGTTTCTCTCGCTTGGGCCTCCTGCAGGCATATGACATGGTCGTCTGCTGGGCATCGAGGGTCGACAGTGATGGGGTCAGCGTCTCTCTGAAGAGTGCATTCGACGGCTGCAACCAGATCACAGAGGATATTGTGGCCGGCGAAGATCGTATTGCTGAATTGGCGGGGCTGGAAAAGCGGCTAGAAAGATTCATGCCCGACATTTCTCAGTTCGATGAAGCTGTCGAGCGCATCTCCCAGTGGATGGAACGGCACAAACACAAGCTTGTCTCTTCTCCAGAAGACCGGGAGAGAAGGCTTCGCAACTGGTGCAAGAAGCGCGACGAACTGGGAGACATGGGTAACGATCTCCTAGAGCAGGCGTGTCAGCAAGCGGTAGAAGCCAAGACCAGGGAATGGAAGAAGAGCAAGCGCAGGACCGAGCGCGCTGGCATCGACGGTGACACTGACGGCGCCCGGCCGACAAAGAGAAGAAGGAAGGGCTGAGGTCGGTGCCGGCGATGAGCCGTCACGGTTGCCTCGTTTGAGATATTGTTACGTGGCGTCTTGGGCCTCAATCAGAACATGTTGCATATCTGCAAGGCGGAAGAGGCATAGAATTGCGTTCAAGAACTGTCGCTACTTCTGAGGTGGTTGGCTAGGCTTTGTTTCTTCCCTTCGATAGTCAGTCACCTGCCGTGTGTAGCTATATAGGTTCGCAATTGCTATAACCCCTCATCGATTTGTTTGGTATTGACAAGTGGCTCCTTGACTGTTCAGAGTTCGGGAATGTCACTCGGAAAGCTCTCAGGTTGATATTATATACATGCCTCGAAGATGAAACAAGACCTCGACGTGGTAACTTCAGGAATGTGGATTAGCACTCCCGGGTATAGTTTCTTTTCCATCTAGCAGTGCCCTCAACTCTACACCGTGGTGGATATTCCTTAAACACCCTCCTCTCGTCCCCCCACCTGCCCGTCCGTATCGCCGTCAGACCTCTGCTTCTTCGCGGAATCCCTTCTCACCAGAAGCCAGATTGCGCCGGTGACGAAGAACTGCACCACCATGGTCCCCACGACGCTCCTGAACCCGCGGGTGAAGCGCGGCGCCTCGACGGCGGGGAACTGCAGCAGCTGGGCCCAGGCGACGATGGCCTGGCCGATGGCGTTCATGGACGCGGTGACGATGGCGCGCTCCTCGGCGTCGCCGGCCATTGTCACCGTCGCCCACGCCATCGTCAGCGAGGGGACCGCGCCCTCGAAGCCGTTGAGCATGAAGGCCGCCAGGCGCCCGCCCTCGCCCACGTTCCAGGCCACGAGCATGACCGCGCCGACTAGCGAGGGGACGGTGGCGGCCGCGGAAAGCCCGGCAAACCAGCCGGTACGATCCGCGAGGGCGCCCGCCGCGAAGGCTGAGACGATGGAGATGGCCGTCGCGACCGTCGGCAGCGTGTTGATCCGCGTCACCGAGTACGTCTCGGGGAACGCCTTGAGGTACAGCGAGAAGGGGGAGCCGCTGGGCTGCAGGTTCTCGTTCATGATGGTCCACTGCGCGACGAAGAGGTACCAGTGCCAGCGGGTGAAGACGCGCCTGAAGATGCCGCGCGAGACCCTGAGCTGCGGCGGCGCCGTCAGTCCCTCGAGACGCTTCTGCGCGAAGGCGTGCAGGCGTGCGGGAAGCAGCCTCGGCCGCGAGCGCGAGGGCACGTCGGGGAAGACGAAGAAGCCAACGAGGGCGATGGGGATGGTGATGACGGAGTCGATTACAAAGAGCCAGCGCCACCCGGCGAGCCCACCGGCGTTGTGCAGGTTGAGCCAGACGGCAGCTTGCAGGTAGCCTGCAAACATGGTGCCCAGGGGCGCGGCGATGTAGAAGAGGGCGACGCGGCGGCCGACCTCGGACGGCTTGTACCAGGAGCCGATGACGTAGATGACGCCGGTGAAGGAGGCGGACTCGAA